TGCAACTCCTGCCACATGGCTTGCTTGACTTGGCCGGGGAAATTTAATAGTTCCAGCTCGTGTTTGCCTCTACGTACATCCAACATGCAGCTTGCATGAGGCTCTACCATCAGCTGGTCCATGAACATTGTGGGGTGAAGCTGAAACAGTAATAAAAAGCTTATCTTTCCCACCGGGAACAAACACTCAACTCGCTCAAGGGCTATGTACTATTGATATAAATATGTTTCAGCAATAAACAAACTTTGATTATAAAAGTTTGTGGATAAAATGACTACGAGTTTATTACTTCCTGGTGGAAGGAACTTGAGGACCTAAAGCTCAAAAAAGAGATATCAAATTATGTCTCGTATATTTTACTTAGTCTAGTTCGATTAATCATTATAGTCGAGTAATGTTGATTATATTCCTTCTACTTTATTTTTTTTATGCACCCCATACCCATCCCGTGGGCGGTGGTGGTGGAAAGGGTTACAGAGGCACTAATTCGGTACTGGAACTGAACTACATAGTTCGTTTAGCTAAGCAAATGACAATTTTGTGAAGCTAGTTTCAGACCACGCTTGGCCACTCCGTAAAAAGTACTTGTAGCTCGGTTACAAGGCTACTCCGTACTTGTAGCTCGGTTACAAGGCTACTCCGTACTTGTAGCTCGGTTACAAGGCTACTCCGTACTTGTAGCTCGGCTATAAGTACCTCTGGGAGTTTTCATCATCTGTTGATGTAAATTTGACTAAATGTAAACTATGTCATTCTTTTCACATACTTTGAGTAATTATATAATGAAATGCAAAAATAATATCGTGAAATTCAGAGAATTAAATCAAACACCATCAGTGGTGTTCACGAAATGTATAAGTACTTCATTCATAATAATGGTGCACTCCCAGGACTCTTAGGCAAGTATCCAAAGTTTGCTTATTGTACGTAATGCAAGGTTATATATGACTGCAAAGCTGGCGCCCATTTGGGTGGGTGTGGAGCAAGATTGGTGACTGTGTAACTGACTCAACATATGTGTAAACTGCCTTGTATAGAGACGTTTGGGCCTCTTCTTGAATCACTTGTGATATACATGTCAATAATACCTTTATATGTATGGGTATTTATTATGTGATGACATTCACTGGAGGTACTCAAGTGGACTCAGTCCACCTGAAACCAGACCTTGTTGGGACTCTTTTTCTGTGTGCTGGGACCCAATTTTCTCTTTGCTTGCTGGGACCCAATATCCTCTTTGCTTGCTGGGACCCAATTTTCTCTTTGCTTGCTGGGACCCAATATCCTCTTTGCTTGCTGGGACCCAATATCCTCTTTGCTTGCTGGGACCCAATATCCTCTTTGCTTGCTGGGACCCAATTTTCTCTTTGCTTGCTGGGACCCGTTTCTACATTCTGGTCTTTTTTTCCTACATGCTGGAATCCTTCCATCATGCTTTTGGCGCTTACCATATGTTTGATTCCTTCTCACATACTGAAACCTTTCCAACAATCCCACATAGTGATGTGGTTTCAATCAAACTCATACTGGAGGGTTTTTTGTATAGCTACACATATCCCATAATATATTCCCGCATAGCAACCCGCTTCTTCCCCAGTTCCATCTCTAAATTCCTTCCTCACATCCCTCCTTCTCTTCCCCTCTTTAGTTCTCTCTTTCTCCCCTGTTTGTTGTCGGTCTATTGCTCCCCAGGTCAGGCAGCGACGCTGCCAGTTAAAGCATCCTGACTTGAATCATGCACAAGGCATCGACCTGTGCATGGGATAAGGCACAGTTAAAAGTTCGATTCTGTGTTAAAGTTACCTTAAGTTACGTTATGGTAACTTTTCACACTTTGTGTAAACGTTTAGGTGTGTTGGCGAGACCAGTAAAGATGGTTATGGGACGTCACCTCACGTAGTAATGATTGCACTGTTTCACTAAATCTCTTCCTCATATTCATTGGTGATAAGTGTCTCACGCTTCATAATTATTTCCGCGCGCTTTTAATATCTTTATCACTGCCTTACCTTTCGCGATTAAGGAAAATATTCCATTTGTTTATAAATGCTTAGCAATGATTACAAGTTTTGTAATACCATTACAATAATTATTCTAAGCATTTTTCAATTATTTTAGGCATTTATTTAGGTATCTGAGTGATTATATTTTCCCTAATTATTAATAATTTTCTTAATTATAATTAAAACCGAATTAATGGCAATCATTTCAGGAGTTCATAATAATTACGACACACATTTGTGGTTGTTTTCTCACCACTGAGAGTGCGATGTCTCCCATTTTTGACGGGACATTATTGTTATTAGTATTCAGAGCCGGGAAATATTGGCTGCAGTGTTTAATTCAGCTGTTTACCAACTGATGATGGCTTAAAGAGCACGAGGTTATTGTGTTGAGACACTCCTCTCTCTCTCTCTCTCTCTCTCTCTCTCTCTCTCTCTCTCTCTCTCTCTCTCTCTCTCTCTCTCTCTCTCTCTCTCTCTCTCTCTCTCTCTCTCTCTCTCTCTCTCTATCTCTCTCTCCTTGTGTTGTATCTATTGCTATTTGTTCATATTTCTCCTACAAACTAGTCCTCATACTTCTCATTAATCCTGCTTCAGAATCATCTTTCTCCTCTTCTTATTCCTCAATCTAACTTCTTTATCTTCTCACGACTGTATGTCCTTCTGCATAAGCTCAGATCCCTCCCCAGGAGCGAACATCTCTTCCCAGCAGTGTACGTCTTTTCCCCAAGAGTGTACGGCTTTTCCAACGTTCGCACGTCCCTCCCCACGTTCGTACGCCCCTCCCCACGTTCGTACGCCCTTCCCCACGTTCGTACGTCCCCCCCCCCCTCCACGTTCGTACGCCACTCCCATCTATTCAGTCTATGATTTATCAGAGTTCCCGCTGAATAAACCTTTGTTTCATTGACTTAAATGTACGCAGACTGTTATTCATTCTTATCTGGCGTATGTCAGGTGGTTGTGAGGTGTGAGGAGCCTTGGTGCGTGTTCTGGGGGATGTCGTATGTGTGTGTTTCACTACACTCTTGTTTGCTCATGGTTCTTATTTTGACTCTTCTTCACTGTGTCATAGTGGGATTCGATTTCTGCTTTGCTTTTGTCTTATGTTATATTTTATCCTCTGATTTTGCAGCCTCTAACCTTCTCTACCTATCACTTCTCCACACTACCCCTCACTTCCAGATCTCCCCCTCCCCCCTACTTGACCCCCCCCCCCTCCCTTTTCATCTTTCTCTTCTCACCTCTCCCCCCCCCTTCCCCCCTCTCTTCCTATCACATCTCCTGGGCTCTCCACATGTATATCTATTTAAAAGTTTAACTCGTATAGAGAGCGAGATAAGATCACGTTGGAAGATATGGTCGTAGAGCGGCCACAACTTACAGTGAAATGGCGGGCGCTGCGTTACCCTCATACGGCTCGCAGTCGGGGCCAGGGTAGTCAAATGTGAGAGTCAGTGACCGTAGAGTTTGAGACAGACTGCGCCGGCCCGTCCTCTACCCCCTTCTCGAAGCAGCCACATCTGAAACAGTTGACTCTTTTTATTTAATTTAGGTCTCACGAGCATTGTGTAAATTGATTTCTCATTCCGGATGAGCGTGCCGGCTTTTCATAACCAATACTTGCATATGGACTATGTAACTATATGGATATGTTCGATGTGGACTAAAAACACACATACATGGTAGGGTTAATTTTCTGTGATTGAAGGTCTGCTCTTTAGGAGCTTTCGAAACTTAAGCTATAAACTTCTCGCATAAGATATACAACAGGAAGATCAGTAATATATAACTTGCTTGCCACTCAGAATAAAAATTTTGGGATATATTTTTTATATTTACCATCTCACATAAAGGTAACTCACCATAGTGATACAGACTTGCAACTAAATCACCATGTAACAAAGATGAAATTAAACTAGATATGGATTCATTTCCGTCAAATCCTTTAATTTAACAGGAGTAATAAGACATCCAGACATCCGAAAAACATTAGTAAATAGAATTTTGATTTGTTTTAGATTCGAGACCTATTATATAAGGGGAGTAATGTTGACCAGACCACACACTAGAAACTGAAGTGACGACGACGTTTCGGTCCGTCCTGGACCATTCTCAAGTCGATTGTGACTTCAAGTCTGGACCACACACAATCGACTTGAGAATGGTCCAGGACGGACCGAAACGTCGTCGTCCCTTCACTTTCTAGTGTGTGGTCTGGTCAACATATTTCAGCCACGTTATTGTGACTCCTCGTCTGCATGGGGAGTAATACTATTACACGTCCACCAGACAGTGTAATAGTATTGACTAAGATCACGTTACCTATGTGTCAGGAGGCAGCAAGTGACGAGCCTCCCAATCCTGAGCATTCCAGGTGTCAACTCTGCAAGCAGGAACTGGGTGACACTCTGCAACATAGCTTCAATTGAATATCAAGGTCATTAGACGCTGTATTCTTCCAGTATGCGATACATAAAAGTTTACAGTTGCTTCATCCATTATCGTGTATTTGAGTTTTATCCCCAAATCCATCAAAATTTGATAATGCTGCCTAATATATTGTATGCCCCTGTTTGACAGCCTTATCTGGTGAACTGCATAACGTTTCAAATAGTCTAGGATAGCCACGTAGAGCTTAAGTACATTAACAAAATTAATTTCTCTCGCTTTCTCTCTCTTTATCTTTCTCTTTCTCCCTCTCTCTCTCCCTCATCCCCGCTTCACCCTCCTGCTCCCTCCCCGTCCCAAAATGATCATTTCAAAATATTGGAAGACATAAAGACAGGGAACCTCAAATACACACACACACACACCTCTCAAATCCTCGACTGTTTAGTCACTATGTCATCTAAATCCACTTAAACCCAGTTAACTATCGATGATTAGCCATAATTGCCTTAGCTGGGATTAATCCAGGCTATGAAATCATCCTGAATGACTGACAGGGGACAAATTGTTCCCCATCAGACTGACAGCTTGAACGACAGCTCCGTCATGTCGGTTCCCCGCAGCCGAACAATTGACAGGCAGAACGATGGGAATCGATACTCGGGGTCACACAAGTGAGTGGGGGTGCTGGCAAGTAGTCTCCAACCTCCCCAGAACTGCCTGTATATATGTGTGTGTGTGTGTGTGTGTGTGTGTGTGTGTGTGTGTGGGGGGGGGGGGTGAGGGGAAGGCACCATGACCCTGAATCATAAAATACAAGGGGGTAAAGGCAGATGTGACTAGCAGGGGGTTTTGTACCTTAATAATACACGATAATAAAGTTTGGGGAAGGTTCATGTTGTGGTTTATGAGCTTATACTGTGAAACAAACACAGTTCAGTGTTTGTGTGTGTGTGTGTGTGTGTGTGTGTGTGTGTGTGTGTGTGTGTGTGTGTGTGTGTGTGTGTGTGTGTGTGTGTGTGTGTGTGTGTGCTATTCATACACATGAACGAAGAGCTTTGTAATTCATTGTCGGTGCCATGACGACAATAGGTTCGTCACACGCCTCTTAATGTGGCCAAGGTATCATACAAAAACATCAGTATTAGGGAGTATAGTATGACTTACGTGCATTCAACTTGGTTTAAATACAAGGCTGGTGTAGTAATAACAGCGCGAACGGTAAACGCGGTGTGTGTGTGTGTGTGTGTGTGTGTGTGTGTGTGTGTGTGTGTGTGTGTGTGTGTGTGTGTGTGTGTGTGTGTGTGTGTGTGTGTGTGTGTGTGTGGAGGTGCCAATATTGTGGGGAAGGTGCCAGTGGTGTGGGAAGGTGGCACGATTGTTGAGGAGGCGTAGCAGTTTATTAGCTCACTACTTATCTTTAGTAAATTCTGTTTCTAAACTCCACCAGTATGCTATCCAATGGACCTCATATGAAGCACACGGAGCTAGCCCTCGCCTTATTTTTGTCTATCCCACTGAATTGGCTGTCCAACCACATCATGCCTGGGACAGCTTCCCTACATATCCTAGCGCTATCCATCTATCTGTAATTATTCCATCTCCGTATTTATGATACACTTGACACGTCTTAACAAGGCTATTACTTCCATTGCCAATTCAAGAGTAAAAAAGAAATCGCTTCATTCCGTAACCGTGTTGTGAATGTCTCAAGAAGCATCGAGGGATATACTGAACCACCTCGTTCCCACCCTTGTCCTCCTCACACACTAGTTAAATATATTATTGTAATTTATACGCCACTGAAGCAGAAATTAATACAATTTTAATTTGTAGATTAGTTTGATGGTGTTGGATATATAGATTATTATGAAGATTTGGGGTCTCTTCCTCTACCTGTTCCTCTTTGTATTGGCTTTATGGTTATTCGAATGTATTTGTATTTTTAGTGGTTATTTGAGACTTTTGCTAGTTAATGAGCGTATGTGTACATGTGTGTGTTGAGGTGTATGAGCTATGTTTACGTATTAATGGGCATGTTTATTAATTTAAATACGTAATAATGTGTGTGTGTTCATCCTAGTTGTAATCAATTAGCTGTCAATCAAGCGGTGTACAAATTCATGAGCCTATTAGCCTCTATCGTATCTACATTTGAAACTGTGTATGGAGTCTGTCTCCACCACCTCACTGCCTAGTGTATTCCATTTGTTAACTACTGACACTAAAAACGTTCTTTCTAATATCTCTATGGCTCATTTGGGTACTGCGTGTGTGTGAGTGTGTGTGTGTATTCTCCTACTTATACTAACATAGCTGTGCTTGCGGGGGTTGAACTTTGGGTCTTAGGGCCTATAAACTGCCACTCAACTTTGTTTTTCTCACACACACACACACACACACACACACACACACACACACACACACACACACACACACACACACACACACACACACACACACACGCGCACACACACATACACACACACACACACACACACACACACACACACACACACACACACACACACACACACACACACACACACACAGAAAGCTGCACGTAACAGCTGCCGAGCTACCAGGTACCTATTTCCTGGTAGATGAACAGAGGCATGAAGGTGAAAGAAACGTTGCCCATATGTTATCTGCAGCCGCCGGGGATCAAACCTGGACCCTTAGGACTACGAATACCGAGCGCTGTGTACTCAGCCGGCAGGACCCTGAGCCCTGTGTGTGTGTGTGTGTGTGTGTGTGTGTGTGTGTGTGTGTGTGTGTGTGTGTGTGTGTGTGTGTGTGTGTGTGTGTGTGTGTAATTACCTAAGTGTAGTTACAGGATGAGAGCTACGCTCGTGGTATCCCGTCTTCCCAGTACTCTTTGTCAAATAACGCTTTACTGACGGTCTTGGCCTCCACCACCTTCTCACCTATCTTGTTCCAACCGTCTACCACTCTGTTTGCAAAAGTGAATTTTCTTATATTTCTTCTGCATCTGTGTTTAGCTAGTTTGAATCTATGACCTCTTGTTCTTTAAGTTCCAGGTCTCAGGAAATCTTCCCTATCGATTTTATCAATTCCTGTTACTATTTTGTATGTAGTGATCATATCACCTCTTTTTCTTCAGTCTTCTAGTTTTGGCATATTTAATGCCTCTAATCTCTCCTCGTAGCTCTTGCCCTGTGTGTGTGTGTGTGTGTGTGTGTGTGTGTGTGTGTGTGTGTGTGTGTGTGTGTTCACTCCTAGCTGTACTTGAGGGAACTAAATTTTATATTCCATACATGTGCGTACTGTGCAGTCAAAAGTAAGAGATTTATTTCTATACGAAGAACCTGTATGTTCAAAGTTGTGTATGAAGAGTTCTCCTGCCATCTCAGAAGTATTATAACCTCACTCTTTAGACGTAAGCTTCTATAATGAGACCAATTATGTGATCAGACTTGAAAGTTGTTGGATATGTTGAATTATGCCTGATTCTTGGTGCAATTATTTTAATGGCGTGTAGAGTTACCCCTTGTTGGGGGAGTAGAATTACCGCAGCATCCGGGTAATTGAAGAATGGACCAGGCTTTTATGCTTTACCTGCTCAGAGAGATGTTTGTATATAACAGAGACACGCTCGTGGCATTCGTGCTTTTAAGTCCTGTCCTAAATAAATATGAAGGTGGCTTTTTTGTAGTGTGTCATTCTATCTCTGTTGTGGGCTGAGGGGGTCAGATTACAGGCGCTACAGTGGATGTGTGAGGTATTCTTCTTGTTGCGAACATTTGCCTGAGCGTACCTGAGAGACACTATTTCTAGTAGTTTGTCAAAGTTCCCATCGATGTTTCTGAGGATTTTGCTCCTATCTGGATTATGAACTGAAGTTGCAACGTGGCTTTTGAGGCATTGGCGGGTAGGCGGTTCTATTGGATTTATAACCCTATGGGTGAAAAGATATATCTCTTAATTTTAGTTCAATGCCATGTGTATTTTTTTATGTAGTCCGACTTCGTTATTTTCTGTGAATTGTTGCTTAATTGTCCAGGTATCAGTTTGTCATTTGATGGAATTCATGTGCAGCATTGTTATTAATTACACTGTCAGCGGCGACCCCCTACACATTAACTGGATACACAATCACACAACAATTAATGTGTCCTGCAGCCGCAATAATTATCAGAATCTCCAGAGCACCACAAGACTTTGGTTCTTGGCTTTGCTCAGCCACCGAGTTTCGCAGACCAGGTGGCTACACCCCAATGACCAGGTGGCTACACCCCGGTGGCTACACCCCTCGGACTCGGAAGGGATAAACACTCACCTGAATGAACAATATTGCTTAAACTGACGTTCAATGCGTTCTTGAGTCAAGAGTCAGCTCCTGACACAGGTCCTGCTGCCCAGAGGCCGTCACCCGGAGCTCTGAGGGGCCTCACTAGCAGTAACCACAACACCTGAGATGCCGAGGTCGTGACGCCACCCTCAGGTCACGTCACAGGAGAGGTTACGAGGGAACAATTATATAAAGAGGTCTTCCTACGCACGCAGAAAGGCGTCAAGGCCACACCTGCGGGTCAACTCGTGCTCAAGGCTTTCACTGGTAAGAAAACTTGCACAAAATATATTAATGAATAGCCTTTCTATCTCTCCCTGATTTAAAACACAGACCTGGTCCTCACGGCCGCCTATAAAATATTCCTGTATTCATGGCCGCGAATAATAAACTTTCCTACAAATTCCAGTTTCATCACGGTCAAATTAGAGTTTCAGATTTCAACCACGTTTCTATAGTGCATTGTTTATCGTTAAGAATTCGCAAGATTCAATTACGCCCGTTTTTCTCCTTTACACAAACTATTTATTGTTCCTTTTAACTAGATAGATATGGTCATTAACTATTAAGGAACAACTGGACGACAGAAAACCAGACACCATACATAGGAATCTCCTCAAACAGATGCAGCTGGTGGCTTGATCGGTGATGGTAAGAATCAATTAGTGTGTTGGTATGGAGGGAGAGAGCTCCAGGAACAAGGTGCCCTCTGGTCAGATCCCAAACATCTGCCGCTCAGATCACACCCCCAAACATCAGCCACACAGATCACACCCCCAAACATCAGCCACTCAGATCACACCCCCAAACATCAGCCACTCAGATCACACCCCCAAACATCTGCCGCTCAGATCACACCCCCAAACATCAGCCACTCAGATCACACCCCCAAACATCAGCCACTCAGATCACACCCCCAAACATCAGCCACTCAGATCACACCCCCAAACATCAGCCACTCAGATCACACCCCCAAACATCTGCCGCTCAGATCACACCCCCAAACATCTGCCGCTCAGATCACACCCCCAAACATCTGCCGCTCAGGTCACACCCCCAAACATCTGCCGCTCAGATCACACCCCCAAACATCTGCCGCTCAGGTCACACCCCCAAACATCAGCCCAAACTATTATAAGCGTCGTGACCCTTGAGATTATTCCTCATTTACTGATATGTTTAAACTTGTTCTTCACTATCGGGAGTGACTGACTGCCACACCCGTGGTATTTGCCCTGACGTAAATAATGTAAACTCCTACAAAACCTGCCCTGGCCATCATCAATAAACTTAAGGTGGCATTCCCGCAAAAGGCAGAAAGGTTTTTTTATTATTGTGAGTGGTGTGGGGGGATAGGGATTG